TTATTGCTTCAGTGTTCTTGTCTCCCTGGTTATTGCTTCAGTGTTCTTGTCTCCCTGGTTATTGCTTCAGTGTTCTTGTCTCCCTGGTTATTGCTTCAGTGTTCTTTTAACCAAGGTCGCCTCGAAGTCCAAGGTCGCCCTAGGTACCAACATCTCACTGGGAACCAAGGTCGGTCTTGGGACCAAGGTCGTCTTGGAGACCATGGTCAGTGTGGGGTCTAAGGTCTCCCCTGGGGGGGGCCACGGACGGCCTGGAGGAAAAAGGTCGTCCTGGAGATCATGGCCAGTGGGGGGTCTAAGGTCTCCCCTGGGAGGCCACGGACGGCCGGGAGGAAAAAAGTCGTCCTGGAGATCATGGCCAGTGTGGGGGTCTAAGGTCTCCCCTGGGGGGCCACGAACGGCCTGGAGGAAAAAGGTCACCCTGGAGACCAAGGTCGACCTGAGGGCTAAGGTCGGGCTGGTGGGCAAGGACGACGTGGGGAGAAGAACCCAAGAACACACTCCAGATGGAACCAGTCTTTCGACTGACGATGCCTTCCCTTCCTTCTCATAGGCGTAGGTTCCCGACACACAGATTAAGCCTCTCCTTCCTGCGAAAGAAGCTATCCGAAACAGATCGAGATTTTTCCCCCCAAAAAAGTCCACCCTCATCACAGATGAAACTTGCCACCAAGTTACCCTGCCTTCCATACAGTTGCAGCCTCTCCCTTTCAAAGACAGCCTTTCCCCCTCTCCCTCCACAGACGCAGCCCCTTCTCCCTCCACAGACGCTGCCCCTTCTCCCTCCACAGACGCAGCCCCTTCTCCCTTCACAGAGGCAGCCTCCCCTCTTGCTATACGTGCAGAGCCGGAACTGATCCACTTAAGCCACAGTCTTCACGCAAGAGTCTCTTACGACTGGATTCTAAGAAAATGAAGAAGCCGACATTTAATACGCTAGAATTATGACTTGTTTTTCTCCGATGGGTTTCTTGGGGGCGGCGGGAACAGTTTGCTTCACTCAACACAGATCTTAACGGGACCTGACCAGGCCTTGATCTTTGCTTATGACGCCCCAGGCACACGCTGGCCTAGCTAACGCTCCGTGTCCCGCAATGTGGGGGCGGGCAGGATGACGGGGGTGTGAGGGAGGGCAGGATGACGGTGTGGGGGAGGGCAGGATGACGGGGGTGTGAGGGAGGGCAGGATGACTGGGGTGTGAGGGAGGGCAGGATGACGGTGTGGGGGAGGGCAGGATGACGGGGGTGTGAGGGAGGGCAGGATGGCGGGGGTGTGAGGGAGGGCAGGATGACGGTGTGGGGGAGGGCAGGATGACGGGGGGTGTGGGGGAGGGCAGGATGACGGGGGTGTGAGGGAGGGCAGGATGACGGTGTGGGGGAGGGCAGGATGACGGTGTGGGGGAGGGCAGGATGACGGGGGTGTGAGGGAGGGCAGGATGACGGGGGTGTGAGGGAGGGCAGGATGACGGGGGTGTGAAGGCAATATGCCTTCAGCCGAACAAGTCTATGTGGGTGGGGACGAGGACAGGTTGACGAGTTTAGCAGTTACCAGGGAGGATGTTCTTAAACAAATAGTAAAACTCAAACCAAACAAATCCCCAGGGCCGGATGAAGTGTTTGCTAGGGTGCTTAAAGAATGCAAAGAGGAGCTTTGTGACCCACTGTCAACCATATTTAATAAATCAATAGAGTCAGGCAGAGTGCCAGAGTTTTGGAAAGTTGCTAATGTGATACCAGTTTTTAAGAAAGGAGATAGATCACTTGCGTCTAACTATCGACCAATTAGCCTAACGTCTATTGTGGGAAAGTTACTCGAATCTATAATAGCAAATAAAATTCGTCTTCATCTTGAAAAACATAAATTAATAATTGAGTCGCAACATGGTTTTATAAATGGCCGTTCATGTTTAACAAATTTGTTATCTTTTTATTCTAGCATTGTTGAGGCAGTTGATAGTGGTAAGGATTGCGATGTTGTATACCTTGACTTTAGCAAAGCTTTTGATACAGTGCCACATGAAAGACTGATTAAAAAAATAGAGTCTCATGGTATTGGGGGTGCTATATTAAGCTGGATTAGGGCATGGCTATACCAAAGGAAACAGAGAGTTAGTATAAATGGAATCAAGTCAGAGTGGGAAAATGTTGTAAGTGGAGTGCCTCAAGGCTCTGTCCTGGGACCTCTGTTGTTTATAATATATATAAATGATTTAGATTCAGGTTTGAGTAGCAACATTTGCAAATTTGCCGATGATACGAAAATCGGTAGGGAAATTAATTCGGAGGAGGACTCACTATCACTTCAAGTTGATCTAGATAGGGTTTTGAAATGGTCAAAGGATTGGCAGATGCAGTTTAATGCTGATAAATGTAAAGTTCTGAGGTTAGGTAATGATGATAGAGTTACAAGATACGAGCTAGATGGTGTTGTGATTGCGAAGTCGGATTGCGAAAGGGATCTGGGAGTTATGATTAGTAAGAATTTAAAACAAAAGGATCAATGCATAAATGTTCGTAATAAGGCAAATCGGACACTTGGATTTATTAATCGCAGCGTTAGTAACAAGACACCTGGTGTGGTTCTCAAGCTATATCTTGCTCTAGTTAGGCCCCATTTAGATTATGCAGTTCAGTTTTGGTCGCCATATTATAGAATGGATATAAATTCACTTGAACGTGTCCAGCGTAGGATGACTAAGTTAATTCCCCAAATTAGAAATCTTTCATATGAAGAAAGATTAACAAAGCTTAAGTTGCATTCACTGGAAAGGCGAAGAGTTAGGGGTGACATGATAGAGGTTTACAAGTGGATGAATGGACATAACCGGGGGGATATTAATAGGGTATTAAAAGTATCAACACAGGACAGAACACGAAACAATGGATATAAATTGGATAAGTTTAGATTTAGGAAAGACTTGGGTAAATACTGGTTCAGTAACAGGGTTGTTGATTTGTGGAACCAATTGCCGCGTAACATTGTGGAGGTGGGGTCCCTCGATTGTTTCAAGCACGGGTTGGACAAGTATATGAGTGGGATTGGGTGGTTATAGAATAGGAGCTGCCTCGTATGGGCCAATAGGCCTTCTGCAGTTACCTTTGTTCTTATGTTCTTATGTTCTTATGTGAGGGAGGGCAGGATGACGCGGGTGTGAGGGAGGGCAGGATGACGCGGGTGTGGGGGAGGGCAGGATGACGGGGGTGTGAGGGAGGGCAGGATGACGGGGGTGTGAGGGAGGGCAGGATGACGGGGGTGTGAGGGAGGGCAGGATGACGGGGGTGTGAGGGAGGGCAGGATGACGGGGGTGTGAGGGAGGGCAGGATGACGCGGGTGTGGGGGAGGGCAGGATGACGGGGGTGTGAGGGAGGGCAGGATGACGGGGGTGTGAGGGAGGGACGGATGACGGGGGTGTTGGGGGGAGGGCAGGATGACGGCGGTGTGGGGGGAGGGCAGGATGTCAGGGGTGTGGGGGAGGGTAGAAGAGGGTGAGGGGGGAGGGAAGGATGACGAGGGTGTGGGGGAGGGCTGGATGACGGCGGTATGGGGGGAGGGCAGGATGTCAGGGGTGTGGGGGAGGGTAGAAGAGGGTGAGGGGGGAGGGCAGGATGAATGGGGGGGGGGGGTAGGGAAGGATGACGAGGGTGTGGGGGAGGGCTGGATGACGGCGGTGTGGGGGGGAGGGCAGGATGTCAGGGAGGGTAGAAGAGGGTGAGGGGGGAGGGCAGGATGACGAAGGTTAGGGGAGGATGACGAAGGTGTGGGCGAGGGCTGGATGAGGGCGTAATGAGGAAATAAAGTATGAGAGCTGTCGACCCCACAGACGAATTCATAAATTTTTAAAAGCTGTTCATTCAAAGCGGGAATTTTCTCAAATATAAATTAATATTATATTTGCATATTGTACATATATAGGTATAAGTTAGGTAGAGTGGGAGTGAGAAGAAAAGTGCTCAAGGAAGAGGCGTTTCAGAACTAGGAGGAGTAAAAGCTTTAGTGATGTGGGTCAGAGAAGTACAAAATTTGGGAAGGGGAACCGTCCACGGGGGCAAGGAGGGAACAATACGAGAAACATTAGTAATACGAACCGAAAGAGAATCTTGTAAGAGACAAACGGACAGAAAGAGGAACATGAACTACAGGAGGGGTAAAAGTCAAAGCACGATAGAGGTGAGAGTGAGGATGCTGTAAGGATCGCGCAAGACAGCGAAGACTGTAGCGATCACGGCGATCCTGGAGAGACAGAAAGCCAGTGTCAGCGTACAAGCTGAGGGTAGGAGTTGAACGAAAAGCACCAGAGCTGAGGCGCAACCCAGTATGGTGCAAATGATCAAGACGGCGACAAATATAGGTAGTGCTGCAAAGAATTGACCACAACGATAGTCACCATGGAGCTTCAACTCTCACCAAGCACCTAAAGGTGTGCAAACTCCTCAATGCTGAACCACCCAGGCAAAACTTCCATTTTATCTGTATCCACTACTAAGTATACACAGCATATAATATAGTGAGAATAAAAATCGATTTTTTTTTTAATTTTTAATGGTCCAATATATAAAACAATGAGAATGAGAGGTCACAATGACCAAGGATAAAGCGATGTATGTAATTATAACATCCAGAACCACAATTTTCTGGATATATCTGCCCACTTAAGTAAAATGATTCAATGACAATCATTAAAAGAATATTATAGTTCCATTTAATATAATCCTAAATCTGTAACTAGTTTTCCAATTTAGGAAAAACTATGAGCAGATGATCATGTCCATTGTGAGAACTAAGCATTAAAATTGTCTATTCTAGCAATTTCATGGCTAACAAAACTCACCACATTCAAAGTAAATAATTATTTGCAATGTGAATGGCCCTTTATGCTATTGGGTTCATTCATAGCCATATTAAAGGTAATTGCAAAACTTAAAGGGAAACAGAAATATAAGGTGATTTTTTTTGTGAGGGTTTACATTAATATTTCAAAGGGTAGGAAATTAATAACAAAGTTCCATATACAGTACTGTAATAACAAGAATTACCATACATTTAACATAACATAATAAAGGCCTTTCTCTCGGCCTTATCCATCTTTGATTCCCATTTCCTTACAGTAGGTAATTATTAAAAAAAAAAATGTAAAATGTGTACAAAATATATAGTTCAATACCTTTATGGAGAAATCATTTACCTTCAATGTTATTATACGTAAACCAAAGAGTGCCCTATGTACTTACTACATACAGAAATCGATTCACAAAAATAACTAATGTAATATAAAATCTTTAGGTTGCAAGTTCTAGCGCTTTGATTTCTTTTTCTGCTTTCTCCTTTGTTCCTCTTCATCTTCTTCATAGCTTGGAGAGTACAAAGGTGATGTTGGACTATAACCTGGAGTAGTTGGGCTGTATGTGGGGCTAGTAGGGCTATACTTGGGGCTACTTGGACTATAGGTTGGAGAAGTTGGGGAATATTTTGGACTTGAAGGACTATACTGAGGACTAGAGGGACTGTATGTAGGAGATGTTGGAGAGTACTTGGGTGATGTGGGCGAGTATTTGGGCGATGTGGGCGAATATTTAGGGGAGGACGGTGAATATGAAGGAGAAGTGGGTGAATAAGTTGGGCTTGTAGGTGAATATTTTGGTGAGCTGGGAGAATACGAGGGTGAGCCAGGTGAGTAAGTGGGACTTGTTGGGGAATAGTTGGGGCTGGTGGGAGAGTACTTGGGGGACGATGGGGAATAGGACGGGGAAGCTGGTGAATACTGAGGGGAGCTGGGTGAATAAGATGGACTGGTTGGGGAGTAGGACGGACTTGTTGGAGAATATCCAGGAGAAGATGGAGAGTAGTTAGGGGCATAGCTCGGAGATGTTGGCGAGTAGGAGGGTGATGTTGGCGAGTAGGATGGTGATGTGGGCGAATAGGATGGACTGGTAGGAGAGTAAGAGGGAGAAGTGGGACTGTAGCTGGGGGATGTTGGAGAATAAGAATGACTTGCAGGGGAATATGATGGAGATGTGGGAGAGTAAGATGGTGATGTGGGAGAATATGATGGTGATGTGGGAGAATATGATGGTGAAGTTGGGGAATAGGATGGTGATGTTGGAGAGTATGATGGAGAGGTGGGACTATAAGATGGTGATGTGGGAGAATATGATGGACTTGTTGGAGAGTACTGCGGTGAGGTTGGGGAGTATTGTGGGCTTGTTGGACTGTAGGTGGGAGAAGTTGGAGAATATCCTGGTGAAGCTGGAGTCATGCTTGGAGATGTAGGCTGATATGCTGGTGATGAGGGAGAGTATGAGGGTGAGAGCGCATTGGCTGGACTTGGAATGTATGGACTCGTGCAGCCTGGAGACACTGGACTGCGAGGTTGTGGAGACCAAGCTGGAGAATATCCTGGTGAGAGGCCTGTTGTCTCACTAGCTGCAGCTGGAGAGAAAGATGGCCCACCTGGTGTCATACCACTACCTACACCAGGGGTCCATGCACCATAGGGTGACATTGATGGTGTTGCTCCTGAAGCCCAAGGGGTTTGGGCAGGCGTCATCCCTGAAGATGGTGATGATGCTCCAAAGATTCCTCCACCCATCATCATGCCTTGTCCTGGCATGGGGATTTCCATACCCAACTTACACTTAGCATCATCTAATACTAAGTCAAATGAACCAGAACCAATCTTGGGAAGCTGTCCTAACATAATGTTTTCAGAAACACCTCGGATAGGGTCTACTTCAGCACAAGATGCAGCTTCCATCAGCACATCCACAGACTCTTCAAATGAACATTTCATTAGTGCACCAGTATCTTGTCTATTAATTCCATGACGTGTGATAGCCATCAAGTGACCCTTGCTCGTCATAACATCACAAAGCAAGGCAAGATGACGGTAGTTCACATAAAGACCATAGAACATGAGCACAGCATTCATTTCCTTTTCAATACATTTTCGCACAGCTTCAATTCCAAGGACTTCGAATACTTCCAAGATGTCATTAGAGGAGGTTCGAACAGGATCTACATCTCTTTCAGAGAGTACTTTCATGAGAGCAGTTCCATCAGTCTCTAGCAGCCACTCAGCTATAGCCTTAAACTCGCCCTGGTCATTTACAATGATGCGCTTCTTTTCATCAGTCTGGGGTAAATGCATGTACACTTTGGTGATGGCTTCAATACCCTGCAGAGTCAGGTCATTCAGCATATTTGCCTCAATGCACCGCAGGAAAGTATCATCTTCCATCTTGTCCACCTGCAAGAGAAAGCTGGTAAGCAAGCATGACATCCCTTATACTAGTCACTAGCCCACAAACTATATAACAAGCCAACAAGAATTCTTTTAAAAAATCTAATCAAGCACAATCTTTAAATCTAATCAAGCACAACCCAGTACTTTTTCTCATCCTCATATCGGACAGACAAGAACACAAGCTATAGCACTATATCATCCTTTGCAGATGACACTAGGATCTTCATGAGATTAGGCAACATAGAGGACACGGCAAACCTCCAATCAAATGTAGATCAGGTTTTTTCTATGAAAATAATATGGTGTTTAACGAAGATAAGTTCCAGCTCATGCGCTATAAAAACGGAAACCACGTACAAAACTCAGGCAAATCATAACATAGAACGAAAAGGCAATGTAAAGGAGCTGGGTGTACTCATGTCGGAAGACCTTACCTTTAAAGAACACAAAAAAGTAGCCGTCACAACTGCAAGAAAAATGACCGGTTGGATAACAAGAACTTTTCACACTAGAGATGCTATACCGATGATGATACTTTTCAAAACGCTTGTGCTCTCTAGAGTGGAGTACTGCTGCACAATGACAGCCCCTCTCAAAGCTGGAGAAATTGCTGACCTGGAGAGCGTGCAGAGATCCTTTACTGCTAGAATCCACTCAATAAAACATCTAAACTATTGGGACCGACTAAAGAGCCTAAATCTGTACTCCCTTGAGCGCAGGCGGGAGAGATACATAATAATTTACACGTGGAAAATACTAGAGAGGCATGGCAGGACATGGCAGGATGGCAGAATACCCCGGTTGAAAAGCAGAGGTGCAACAGGTACTCAAGAGAGAACTATCAACATCAGAGGCCCGAGACTGTTCAACACGCTTCTGCTACACACAAGGGGGGGGGCGACCGGGGAGCCGGTCGGCCGAGCGGACAGCACACTGGACTTGTGATCCTGTGGTCCTGGGTTCGATCCCAGGCGCCGGCGAGAACAATGGGCAGAGTTTCTTTCACTCTATGCTCCTGTTACCTAGCAGTAAAATAGGTACCTGGGAGTTAGTCAGTTGTCACGGGCTGCTTCCTGCGGGCCGCGGGACACTAAAGCCCCGAAATCATCTCAAGATAACCTCAAGAAGGAGCATAACTGGCAAACCCCTCACAGTGTTCAAGAGAGAACTGGATAAGCACCACCAAATGATACCTGATCAACCAGGCTGTGACTCATACGTCAGGCTGCGAGCAGCCGCATCCAACAGCCTTGTTGATCAGCCCAGCAACCAGGAGGCCTGGTCGACAACCGGGCCATGGGGACGCTAAGCCCCGGAAGCACCTCAAGGTAAGTAACCCCTCAATCATAAATTAAGCAGTGTGATATCTGGAAAATATCTATGCTGCACAGCCTACTGCAAAAGCAGTAAAAGTAAGTAATTATCAAAAGAAGGCACCAAGCCAGGGAAGCTATGTAGCACTGTCAAAAGTGCAAGATATTCAAAAGGCGCAAAATATCACTAAGGATGCCAATAACAGAACAAAAGCGCATAAGGCGAACAACATCAAAGGCATCCGATTCACCAAGGATACTATCGAGGGACAGTCGGGAAGCAAGACGCACCCACATCCTGGAAGTCAGGACATTCAACAAGGATATGCACTGCCATAAGAGGGACAATGCAAATCGGACAATAAGGAGCAGGGTGGCGCTCCAAGTGCCCGTGAGTTTAATGGGTACGGCCAATACCTAACCTTGTCAGAGTTGTTTCCTACCGCCGGTTCTGGTGGTAGGAGGAAGGCCACGGGGACACACCACCCTGCTTGTTACCAGTGACAAGACCAGCGATCCTGCCAACTAGCATGAATAAAAGGGTAGAAGTCGGTTGTTAAATGAGCGGTAGCATCCGCACGCTCATTTAAGGAAATACCAATATGGCTGGGAACCCAGCAAATCTCAACTATCTTAAATCTGCTGGAGATAATTGGCAACACGAACCGAGAGTGAACCTTGCAAGTGAGACAACCGTACAGAAAGGGGAAGGTGATGAAAGGGAAGAGGGCCCACAGGAGACGGTAATGGTCAAAGTACGACATAAGAGAGAGTGAGGGTATTGAGACCGTGCAAAGTAGTGAAGACAGTAGCGATTACAGCGATCTTGTAGACAGGATGCCGGTCTCAACAATCAGGCTCTGGATAGGGGTCAAACGAAAGGCACCAGAGCTAAGATGGAGCAAATTATGGTGAAGAGCATCAAGACGAAGGGTGGAGGTGTATTGTCTTCTCCTACCACCCCCATTCTTTTGTCTGTACACATATATTTACTTTATTTGTACTTTGTTACAAAAAAGGAGTTACATAAGGGCAGACAAGTGAACAGGACAGCCATAATCGAGTTTAGACAGCACGAGAGAGGAATGTAAAGAGGAGCGTGCACCTATCAGCTCCCCCAGAAAGTATGGGACAAGAGTGCTTGAGTGCTTACCAAAAGTAGAGCATCTGACAAAGAAAATATAACATGCACTTTTATTATGAAAATGGATGAATTTGAGACCATCAGATCAATAATAAAAATAGAACTGACTGGACTAGAAGCAACATACTAAATAAAAGGATTTAAACATTTAATGTGCTAGATATCTCTAATGTCCAGAATATTCATGTAAATTTTGCCTAATGAATTTTATAAATATTGAAAACATTAAAGGACAGAGTAAAGTGAAATAACCTGTTCCTCTGCATCATCAGCCAATTTGTCGTCACCAACAATAATACGGATCCGGAGTACAAGCTTCTCTGCATTATCGTCATTAAAGATGCAATTAAGATCATCACCAAAGCCAGAGTTGATCTTTTGAGAAATTTGTTCCATAGTCAGCTTCTTATCTGCATGAAATTAATTTCTTTATTACATAGTGTTACAACTCTACAAATAATTAATGTTAATATACTTTGTCAATACAGAAGACTTAAAACATTATTTGAACATTTATCAATCAATTCTGCAGTGCATAAGATCCAAGCAATATACAGCATCCAGCATTTTAATTTCTACATTAATCAACATTACTAACCTGTCATTTTTTTACGATCAAGCTCAATGCGAAGAAGCCATGGGGAGATTCTAGAGACATCGAAGTCAGGCATTTCATAATAAACATTGACAAACTCCTGATCCTCAGTAATACAAGTGTTCTGGGGATCTGGGTCATAGTAGATGGCAGTGTTGGATGTTACCTGCAAAATGTCAAAAAGTTTGCTTACAGTTCCCTTAATAAGGACTGGTTCCAACTGCACTTAAAACTCTCTTCTTTAACTTTTTTTTGTTATAGCAGGTTGGTAATTTCCATATTTTAACTCCACACAATCCAGCTTGCTACTTTATGAATAACAATATGGCTAATGCACATAATGGGTTACATTTTTGTACAGTACGATGCTACCTCCCACAATTTCTACAACCCACAAATGTTCTCTCTATGGCTGGAAATTTTGCTTAAAAATTGCAGTTAGGTATTTAATTCAGGAAAGAAGAAAATTTTGAAAAAAATAAAATAAAATTTGGCGATTATTTTTCCCCATATATCCTTGATGGACGAGTTAATTTGATTTCTAAGACTTTACAGGAATATATTCATCACTATCCAATATTGAAAAGAAATATTTATAATACAAGAGATAAAGAAACAGACAAATAAAACCCCAAAAGCACCGTCAGTTTCACCATCAGTTCTTACCTTGCGTAAAGTTGTGTGTTCCAGACGACACAACACATTCTTGGCTTTCTCAGCATCCCTAGCTGAATCTCCAACCAAAAACACTGTAAGGGAGGGAGCCTTGGGTTTCTTACTGATGTTGATAATTTCCTTCAGCCTTGGCACACCCAATGTTACATTCTTGGATGATACACCAGCAAAGTGGAAAGTGTTCAGCGTCATCTGAGTAGCAGGTTCTCCAAGTGACTGGGCTGCTAAAGCCCCAACCATTTCTCCAGGAGCAGCCTAAGCAATAATAAATCATTAAAGAACTGGAGCTCACTCTTCAAACTAAAACACTGTATAATTGTGTGTACCAAATTTAGTAAAAAAGATCAAAAAGTAGTAAAGCCACAAATGGCAAAACTATCCTTTGCTAACCCTAATCGGATGTCAACCAAATTGTTACATTGGTGACAATTCTTAAATAAATATGTAAAATAATATTGTGTATACAGTTTTAATAGGTGCTAATACTCACAATTGCCTGATGGAATCTGGTCTCAATTTCACCAACAAGCCAGTTGAAAGATTCACTGGTTAATTTGTATTCTTCAGCTACTTTCTTAGTACACAAAGTTGACCTAACTAAGCACTGGAAACAGAACGTGGCATTTTCATTAGCCTGTAAACTGATGCGATCCTCTCCTGTTACAATGGTGCATTTATTCAACATGTCTCGCACACCCTCTACCACTCTAACAGGTGATAAATCTGTTGGTGTTCTTTTATTAATGTGGAAAATCTTCTGCACATTCCAGATCATGCGTTCCAAGTTACATGGTAGCACCACCTGTGGAGATATAATTATTTTATATGCAATAGTATGGTCATTTTGTAATTTTTTGCAGTAAAAATTGCAAATTCTGACCAAACACATCTTAGAATGTAATATATTTAATGTACTTGTGCTTTAAGACACACACACTAAGAACACTGACCATAAATAAAACTACTAAACTACCAACCATATTTTTGGTTCATATATAGGAAGTACACTTAGTAAAATAAACTTAGCAAAAATGGGAAATGCAAACTCACTTTGGTATCACCTTTAGGGAATACATCTCGCAGTCCCAACCGATCTTCTTGAAGTTTCTGCCATTCTCCTTCAAGGATACTGATAGCCTCGGGCGATCCAATCAATTCTCGAACAACGTCTTCGTTAAACAGCCTACGAAGGTATCTCTCATTGGTAACATCAAATCTATACTTGTCTTCAAATAGACGGTTTGATAGTTTAACAGTTGGCATTTTCTGGAACTCTACATACTCTCCAGCCAATCCATCTTCACCATACCTAAGCTGAATCACTTGACTAACACTGTTTCTCACTGTACCATCATAGTTTACCATTACACTCTCCATAGCTTTTATCAAACGTCGCTGGATATATCCTGTTTCTGCAGTTTTCACAGCTGTATCAATGAGACCCTCACGACCACCCATAGCATGGAAATAAAATTCAGAGGGAGTTAGGCCGGCAAGGTAGGAATTTTCCACAAATCCTCTAGATTCCGGACCATAGTCATCCTTGATGAAGTGAGGAAGTGTTCTCTTACGGAAGCCAAATGGAATTCTCTTCCCTTCAACATTCTGTTGCCCTACACAAGCAATAACTTGTGAAATGTTAATATTGGAACCTTTAGAACCAGATACCACCATAGCCTTTAAATTATTATATTCTGTCAATGACTTCTTGGCAGATAAACCAGTTTTATCTCGAGCATCATTCAGGATACGATTCACTTGATTTTCGAAGGTCTGCCTGAGTGTGTTACCAGGAGTAGGTTCAAGTTCATCATTGTGAGCTTTGTGGATCACTTCTATCACATCCTCCTTAGCTTTGCGAATGGTGTCTTGGATGACTCGGTAGGTAGCAGGATCAGAGATAGTATCTCCAATTCCAATACTCATACCTTCTAGAAGTAGCCAATTATTAACAACAGTCTGGATGTTGCCATAAAATCTGCCAGCAATTTCGTGTCCCAATTCCATCCAGGCAACGTGCAACATGGATCCAGACGAAGCACCAAGTGTTCTCTTGCACAAAATGCCCATGATCAACTCTCCATGCTCCACCAAGACCTGGAATTTGTTATTAAATATTACAAAAATACAAGTTACTTATATCTAGGTGGTGTCAGTATGATTGAATTATACAATATACTGACACTGAATGACATACATCTCTCCAGGTACTGAAGTAGATAATAATGATACACAAAATAATCAAAATCTAAAAATTACTATACCCCTATGCACAAAGTCAATGGTTCTTTTTGAGATGCCACTCCAGCCAATCAAAACAGTTTTCACCAGGAGAGGTAGGAATATTAATGCACACAATCTTAACAGGAACTTAAAAACACACATATCTCCTGCACTAAACACAATTAGTACAACAAATGAACTTCACAGGTGATATACAGGCTTCATATCAGTAGTGAAGATCTAAATGGATAGGTCTAAAATGATTCAACATTGGTTGGCATTTACATTATTCCAACCCATCCTCCTGTTTAGATAGTACCTATTGAGACGATCGTCAATAGTCCGAATTCGTACGTACCTTTTAGATAGTATTATACTGACTAGTAAGGAATTATTTTAAAATATATAAAGCTAAAACAAACTTAAATATCCCTCGGCCTAGAATAGCACACATATGTACTATATTTGGCCTCGGGAGGTTAGGTTAGTTTAGGTTGTCAAAGCAACAAGTAAAAAATTTTCCAGTCTGTCCAACTCAATAGTTCAGATTTCTACTTTCTAATTTCATTGTATGTCGGTATATATACTATGGTCCTCATCGTCAAATATAAACAAGTACTCATCATACTAAGTACGTACTACCAAAACAGGAGGATGGGCAGCATTACGTAAAGGAAATTACACGAGCAGCAGAGTCAGTAGGAAACCAAATTTAGAGGATTTCTAATATGAGGAAAAAATGCTCTAAAAGTGATACTTTACACAAGCTAATAGATGATCTTACACCAAATAAGGAATTAAGGTGCCAATATTAAGTACACATGTAAACATTTATGAATGAAGTTTAAATATTTCTGATCCGAGTCCAGGTGCAAGGCTATTAGACAAAGCAAACGTTACTGAACTTTCTGATCAAAGTAATTATTTTCATACCTTTGTATCACCAGGGGAGATCCATTTGTAAGGGCCATCATCTTCATCATCAGGGTGGGTAGAATGGGTCTTGACTAGGTTAAGATTACCAGGAATGATGAGTGAGAACAACTGTTTCCCTGTCCATAATGGCTTGGGCTTGAGGATGGCTGGCTGGGGCATGCGTCCATCCCAGTTTGGCAAAAACATCAGCAAGTTCATCATCTCGCACTAAAGAAAAAACAATTATGGTATACCATTAAAGAAGTAGAGAATGTATGTAAAAAGTTAAATAGCCCACCTATGAATATTAAATAATATCAGACATGCAGGGAATCCTCATTGAATGAGCTTTCTATACTGTAATATGGTAAACTAAGTGACCACTCGAAGGCAAAATGAAGGGACAGCCAAAATGAAAAGTTGAAAGACAAAATGAAGTTGAAAACAGCCAAAAATCTTAGGTGTTTCCACAAACTTGCTCAAACTCTGATTTTTTTTATATTCTACATGTCAAACTCACCAACTTTTGCTAAAGGATCAACATCGTAACAGGAATACAAACAAAAAAATTAAACCAAAAATAATTTTAAATCAATAGTAAATTGCAAATTTAATATTTTTAAAGATAATTTAAAAATTTTAAAAGTTTACAAAATTTATCTTGGTCTAAGAACGACATATGATCATTTTTTTTAAGTTTGGGCCACTTGGGGCCATTGAAGTGTGTGGCTGGTCGCCTGCCAGGGCAGTGAAAAGTATTAAATCACTAACAATGTACACACTACCTTTTCCAAGAATACGTCTCGCTTGGTCATTTTCCGGACAGCAGTCAGGGTGTCCTGTACAATACCCATCACAGGCTTGTTGGCCTGTGGGGTAATGATCATTCGGGGGGTCACGTGCAAGTTCTCAATTTCAGCTCTAGTCTCCATACTCTGGGGCACATGTAAGTTCATTTCATCTCCATCAAAATCAGCATTGTATGGTGATGTTACTGACAAGTTCATTCGGAAGGTTGACCAAGGCAATACCTGTAACACACGTAAAATAAAATAACATGGAATATTTCTTAAAATAATACAAATCTAAATTCTGCAACAATAAAAAGATAGTTTAAATTATGTTGTCAATATTCCTAGTGTAACTGCAGGTCTCTTGCTACTTTAGAGTCTGGTACTAACTCATTTTTCACCTATAAATCTTGACCATAGTAAGACTACAAATAGGAAGCTGCATGTGAATAATGCAACATTTAAGCTGATGACTAATTTGTTCTACATCTGTAAAAGGCTAACCATTATTGAAGTACTGTAAAAGCCTCAATCTCATTTCAGATACTTTAAAAGTTATTTTTCATTATATAGCACAAGTCAGGGCAAATTCAGCCTCCTTCCCATACACATGCCCACAAAATACTTTTATCAAGACATTCTTGACAAGGCACATACATCCATCTTGTTTTCATATTAAATGTAGCAATTAAGTTAAACATTTCCAATACAGATTTATCTTTACAATATTCATTTATATTAGAAAATGTTAAATCTGATCTACAAATATAATAATTAATCTTAAATAATATGAATTAATGAAATACTCTAGTTCTTAAGAGTAGTTGAAGAGCAGAGGTGAGAGAGAACTCTCATCAGAGGCATGAGACTGTTCAACACGCTCCCACTACACATAAGGGACATAACTGGCCGACCACTCAGTGTTCAAGAGAGAACTGGATAAGCACCTCCAAAGGATACCTGATCAAACAGCGTCAAACAGCCTGGTTGACCAGTCCAGCAACAAGGAGGCCTGGTCAACAAGACCGGTTTACTGGGACGCTAAACCCCGGAAATACCCCAACGGTAACTTACCTTAACTCTGTGTCCCATCATAGACATTTTATGCAAAGTGGGCTGACGATTGAAAATGACTAAGTCACCATCTGTGATATGCCTCTCAACTTTGTAGCCACACTGAAGGTGGAGATCAGATGGCTTTGGATGATAGCGTAAATCAATACGAGCCCCGTTGTCACGTACAATGTACTTTGCTCCAGGATACTGGTTGTTACCACGCTTCACAAGCTCCATCATTCTGATGAAAATTTTAATACATTTATTGTAAAGGGAAGCAAAATAGGAAAAAATGTTAAAAATGCCTGCCTTAGGGTTTCCCTAAGGCATACACAAAAAAGATTGTTTTAATTATGTTACGAATATGCCATGCTTATTAAGAAAAGCAAGTACTGTATATTGATAAAGTAAAGTTCAAGTAAAAAAAAAAAAAAAAAAAAATATAGAAATAAAAAAATATAAAAAAATATATTATATAAAATATAATATAAAGAACTGCTATTTCACATTCTCAAAAAAAAAAACTTACTTTGTCATGTTGAATGGTGTTACAATTTCTGGATATGTAAGATTCTGGGCAATGGATCTAGGTACTCCAACTTGGTCAATACGTAGATTGGGATCTGCAGTGATAACAGTTCTGGCAGAAAAATCTACACGTTTTCCCATGAGGTTACCACGAATCCTCCCTTCCTTGCCCTTAAGGCGAGCTTTGATAGCTTTTAGTGGTCTTCCAGATTTCTGTAAGGCTCTAGGCATTCCAGGCATATCATTATCTGTTAAAGTAGCCACATGAAACTGAAGCATCTTCAAATTTTCCACTATGATGTGAGCAGCTGCTCCAGCTTGTTCATTGCGCACAAGTTCATTGTTGGCCTTTATAATATCGGCCAATTTGTGAGTCAAGTCATCTTGATTACGAGCTGAACCATGCATGACTACAGCTGGCCGTACTGGCAAAGGTGGCACAGGTAATACTGTCATGATCATCCAGTCAGGTCGGGCATATTTGGGATCCATTCCTAGTAAGTAGCATTCCTCATCTAATGAAAGAATGGCACAAGTTAACAATATGAGCTACTAAGTGATTTAAATACTATTTAAATATTTTTTCATTTTTTTTTAAATAAATAACTATACATAGGTAAAAACATAAGTTTTATATAATTATACAATTATAGATCTAAATACTGTCCATAAATACAGCATATACAGTATAGCTCAAATTATAAATATAACGTTTTTATTTCAACAAAATGCACACTAACACTGAAGTTTATATGAATACCACATTAAATAGCATATCAACACCTGCAGCACTTTCTGTACAGTGCCGAGATAAACACACAGGCTTTACTAGTAAGGATTTTTTTTAAATTCTGTGACAATGGTAGTTTTGTCTTACTGTATTTGGTTACTGTTAGAATGCAACACACACACACACCTTGCTAATATTTATGTATAGTTTAGGAATTAGAAAATAATGTCATTGAAGCAACTGTTTCTGCAAATTTTGTTTCAACTAAATATCTAGAGCAGACCAAAAACATTGGTCTATGATATGTGATGTGAAACCAACATTTTAGTCATTCATGCCAAAAACATTAAAAAACAACAACACACCATTAACTAGGAGTAGAAATATTTTAAGGAAAATAAAATCTGTTAAGGGCCATTAGAAATTACCAAGCAATGAAAAAACATGGCAACAACTCGGCTACTGATAGCAATAGGGTGCATGCTCACCCAAGAGAGATGAAATTTTCAGACGCTAGGAAAACTGCCAATTATCTAGGGCAAAACCTAAGGGGTGGAATTCAATTACCACATAGTTACACATATCCCAACTTACAACTAAATAACCACTGCACTCTATAATATATAGTATCAAATTAATACTTTATGATACTTGGTGGCATAAGTACATAATATTTCAATTGCTAATTCCTGCACAAAATACTGTAGCAAAAAATAATTTGAGGAAATATTCCAGTACAGTAATGTACACAGGAATATTTTCAGTACATTACTGTACTGAAAATATTCCAGTAATGGACACAGGTAGCAGGGAACTATCAACAATTAAATCTGGTCAATACTGTGTACTTTACAAGATCGTAAATGCAAAATATCCATTTCCATCAGTTTATATTAATGTCATGACGAGCGAACACCTACCATACATGCCGAGTTTCTCTCACGAAGGATATGCTCCCCGAAAATCTAACCCCAACACCAAACAGTACGTTGAATTTTTTCTGAAGTCTCAGATGCATTCTAGATTTTCCTAGGTTCACTGCTCCTCTATCCCAAACTATTTCCTTTACTTATGGTACCTAGCATAATCTTGGCTGCTTACCAAGAATATATTTTCCTTCAAGTTTTGAATACCCATTTGACTAGCAAATTTAAATCCATGAAAACTTGAAAAGTTCAAAGTTGAAAAAAGAAATCTCACTAATGTCTCGACACCAATGCATATATCATGTGTACTTTATGCAAGCCACATTTTCATTAAAATTAAAGGTTTCGTGGAAATAAAATTTAAATAAAAAAAAACATTAATACCCTAAATAAATAAAATTAATTTAATAATATTCACCCACCAGTTATATGCTTGAATATCTCATATACACGCTCAGCAGTGAGGATCTGCTTTCGGTCTTGGGTATCTTCATTTACATGCTTCCACTCTGCTACAAGTTCCAAACCAACTCGTTTAATGTTTGGTTGATATCGACCACAACCACCATGGCCTGATCCTTTCTTTGCCATGGTGGGATCATCTGGATCCTTGTTAACATCAATTTCATCTCCACCTTCACAAATCATTTTTCCTTTACACAAATTGTACACATGCTGAAGTCGCTTTCGGGGCTGCCCTTTGGACTTTGTCACAATCTCACGTATTTTGGGATATTGCTGAAATTAAAAAGCACATTAATGAAAGGAAAACAAAAGAGTGGGAAGTAAACTCCCAAAAATGTATTAACAAAATGGTAAAAATAGCTTTGAATCCGAGGTCTACACGTGCCCAGCACCTAAAAGCAGGGATAAGCTTATATGGCAGAGTGGAAAGTGAAAGTAATAAATCAAGAACAGATGTACAGAATGTAGTTTGTTAGTGTAAAAAATTAAAGGATGTTCAACATCCTAGGTTTATGTGAGACTAAGTTATGAGGAATGTTTTAGGAAACTCTAACGACCGGGCCGCGGGGACGCTAAGCCCCGGAAGCACCTCAAGGTATGGTCAGATCATTTTGCAGTGCTGTGCAAAACTGGGAAAGTTTTGCACAGCAAAACTACAGACACTACACTTTCAATCAATGAAAGTGTAGTGTCTAAAATGTAAGAAAGTTTGAGATAGTGGAAGAAGGTAAAAAATAAAGATTAGGCTAACATTTTGATGAAGTAATGATAAACTGCAAAAACAAAATGCATATAATAATACTTATAATGCATTATGGATGAGAGAGTGCCATAACCTAGGGTGCTGGACGAGCATACTGTGTAAGTTCGCCAGGCATGAAAATATTGTAAACCAGCCAAATTATAACTAAGTAACTACAGTAAACTGAGTTAATAAAATATTGAAAACATGCAGAGTTATTACAAACTTATGAAAAATTGCTTATGATATACATTAGCAGAAGGAAATTCACATTATCTCGCCACCTTACCCAGCATACATAACCCACACCTGATATGCTTATGGCATACATTATTTAATGACTGTTACCTTTAACATTTATTCATTATCTAAATGAAAAATGCTCCTAGAAATTTTAAAGGAATGTTAAACTTTTGTCAGCCTGTCAGCCATTAACAAGAGTGAATGACAAAACCAGAGCGCCTTGATTGTCTGATGCGGCAAAACAAAACATCACATCCAGAAATACAGGTTTCAAATCCTGTATAGCAATTCACTTGGCCAAAATATAAACAACTATACAGCTGATCTTAGAGGTGGTAAGAGTTGGGGTACAAATTCCACTTTAAAATATATTTCAATAAATGTACAGTATGATGAAACATACTAAAATAGTTTTTTCCCACAAAATTTCCTTGTAAAATAGGGGTGCGTTCTATATGAGAGTGCGAGTTTTATGGTTCTGGGATACAGTATCTAGAAAGTATGCAATCATCCGTATACACAAGTGGAGTTGTAAGGGAAGTGTAAACCTAATGTCTTGTACAACACTTGACATTAACAGGGACATAACATTCTCAGACCACAAACTGATTGAGGTTTATCATTTGAAAATCTGGTAATTTTATGAGAAATGCCCAGTTCATTCAGAATACTTACCGCATTGAAGAGAAGTTTGCTGCAATAGAAGCACACACATCTTAAAATCTTCATCGTTTTTGTTAAAAAACCAACATGAAAAACAGGCTTGGCAAGCTCCAAGTGACCAAAATGTCCAGGGCAGTCCGTCATGTTGCCGGCACATGTAGTGCAGCGGGTGTTCCTATCCAAACAGCCCTGTCGTGGATCCATGAGCCCTCCAAGCTTGGGCCTTCCATTCTCATAAACTTCAGCGTACTTTATTCCACCTTCTGTTGCCGACATACGCCGCTGAAAGAAAAAGTTAGGCAAATAAATTTAAAACAGTGTCAGTATTTGTACTTTGGAGATAAGTACACGTGGCGAGTTTCAGATATTTACTGTCACATCCCTTACTTGTTTATCCCCAACCAAGAGCCCAATATGACTGTGTACATTTCTGGGAATTATAATGTCACAGTAACCTTATGTAGAAAATGTTAATGTTTATTTTGGGATGTTGGCTTCCAGTAGGATTTAAAACCTGTACCGGCATGAACATAATGACGTCCAACATCGCCAACGAACATTTTCCTAAAATACATTTGAAAGAAATAGTTTGCTACAGGTCATAATCCATGCCCCTTATCAAATCTTCCCACAGTAACTGCTATACAGAATTTGAAAACCCAAATTGAATAAATGTAAACATTAATGTTACTCACAATTTCGTCCGGGCTCAGAATACCAAACTGCACCCTGCGGACACTCCGCAAGGGTGCTTTGCTTTCTATTGCCATATTGGCAACAAATTTGTGCTTACTAGGAGGCCCCAATAATCTGTAAAGGAAACTATGTTAGGATCAGATGTATAAATAGGAATAGTTATTCAAAAGTGATTGAACAGTTTATTTGGCTGTTCTTCAAGTGATCCAGTCACAGGACATATGTACATTTCTCTGGAACAAGTATTTTGACTGCTATATCCCAAGACAGGGATATCTGCAAGCATTCCTACAAAGGTGTTAGACAGTTACTTGGAAACTACTCAATCTCACAGCCCATTCATAAGAACTCAGCCCTGCCATGACCTACCTTTATCATTTGTGACTGCTATAATAATCAGGGGCAGCAGCCCCACCATACACTGGGTTAACTGGTATGCCCCAGTTGCCCCACATGGTCAGTTTCTGATATTAGGGTGGGGATTGGGAGCAGCTACCTGATATACTCAAAGGTGATTTTTAGGAAGATTTTACTATAAATTGTTATAAGATATTGTACAAGTGACTGCCATAGCCCTCCCAAAACTGGATACACAAAGGGCATATACTTATTCAGTGTTCAAGTGTAGTTTGACTATGGAGTAGAAAAGATTACTTCTGTCAGACATGGCAGTCAGGCTTGACAGACAATATGGTTTCGAACAGGATAATCCTGTGTAACAAATCTACTTAGTTTTTAAGATAAAGTCACACATTCCACAGGAAAGAGGTGTTTGGGTTGGGTCACTGGACTTAAAAAAAAAAAAAAAAGGCTTGCGACAGAGTCCCATACAAGAGGCTATTCTGGAAACTAACGTGCTAGAGGGGTGACAGGACGACTTCTGATGTGGATAAAAAGTTTTCTGACACAGATGAGGGCAGTAATCAAAATAATGTATCTGACTGGAAGAGTGTTACCAGCAGAGTATCACAGGGGTTAAGTTCTTGCCCCTGTAATGTTCATTGTCTACATAATTGATCTACCAGAACTAATACTAAATTATATGAACATGTTTGCAGATGATGCTAAGATACTGGGGAATGCAGACGAGTCATAATAGATAAAGTAAGATAAAGTAGATAAAGTAAGATTAAGTAGATAAAGTAAGTGCTTGGAGCGACAAGTGGCAAATGGAATTCAATGTGAATAGATACCATGTTATGTAATGTGTTATTGGAGAAAATAGACCCCACAAAATTTACAAATTATGTGGAAAGAAATTAAAGAACTCTATGCAGGCGATGAGTCACAATAACGTGGCTGAAGTATGTTGACCAGACCACACACTAGAAATTGAAGGGACGACGACGTTTCGGTCCGTCCTGGACCATTCTCAAGTCGATTGTGATGAGGAGGTAGGGACAGGCAATAAATAGGCAAGAGAGAGCTGAGGAGGAAAGTCAGGTGTAGGGGATAGAAGTAATGAGAACTGCAGCAGGCCTATTGGCCCATACGAGGCAGTTCCTCTTATAACCCCCGAAGGAGATAGTAATAGGAAAAAGAAGAGGATAGCAAGGGAGCGTAGGAGAAGACAATGAACAGAAAAAGGGAGAAGAGAGAAAGAAAAGGAAAGAGAAAGAAAGAAATGGAAGGGGGAAAGCTTATGTTAAGTCACGTTTGTTAGAAAGATTAGAGCATTTGAGTATATACTGTGAAAGGGAAGAGTCCACAGCAACAAAGCCAGGACTCAAGTTCATGTTGGGTTTATAAGAGCCGATTCTACAAGACGGCGTCTGTGTAGAGTACTGGCAGGAAAGATTATTTTCAATAAAGAAGAGAAGAGAGAAAGAAAAGGGACAAGACCTAGGGGTGGTTTTGAATAGTAAGCCGTCACCAGATGAATATACAGACCATTGTTAGAGAAGCGTATGTGTTGCTTTCCAACTTCAAGACTAGCTTTTAATTATATGGACAGTGAAATAATAAAACATAATAATAATAAGTGTTCCATGACTTTTTAGACCAAAATTGGAGTATGCAGCAGTTGTATGGTGCCCATATCTCAAGCATATAAACTGGAAAAGGTGCAAAGGCATGCTACAAAATGGCTTCCGGAACTGAAAACGAGTTATGAGAGACTAGAGGTGTTAAACATGCCAAAACTAGAAGATGGAAAGAAAGAGGGGTGATATGATCACTTACAAAATACTATCAGGATTCTAACAAACTGACAAAGAGGAGTTCCTGAAATCAGCAACTTCAAGATAAATATAGTAAAGTAAATATAGGTGCCAAATTTTTTTTTAAAGTTTTCTTTTGGAAACAGAGTGGTAAGTTAAGTGAGGAGGTGGAGGCCAAAACAGTCAGTAGTTTCAAAGCATTATACGATGAAGAGTACTGGGACACAAGTGTAGCTCATCCTATAACTACACTCAGGTAAAGTTTCCTATTGCAGTGCAATATTGCAGTCCTATTACAGTGCAATAAGAAAGTTTAATTAATTTAACATTATCGGTCTCTTTGGACCTGATGTTCATCCTTTTTTTTTCTCCAGAGTCCTAGCCGAGGACAGGACTTGCGTCCATTACAAAAATATTTGTATAAAATTCATTTTTTGCATATTTAGTGACCAGGATTGACAATAGCAGGACCATTTGGTCCGGGAGACATCTGTCATGTAGGGTTCAGTCGCGCCTCTACAGATCTCCAGTATCATCTCTTGATGCTGGTAATGGCTCAAAAGGGCCACTACTTACGGGCTATTCATGCCCATAAGTGGGGCATGATTCATGCCACCTCTTTGGGCTATTCATGCCCATAAGTGGGGCATGATTCATGCCACCTCTTGGGTGGCTTAATCTTTATCAATCATCGACAAAAGCATCATTGTGGTGAGAATTAGTGACGTGCAAAGAATGGAGGGCGATGGTATTAACTGATTATGTGGCGGCCACTGTTATTGTCTGGACTCGTCATACCAGCTTAGTTGTACAGTTATGGTGAAAAATGTAGATACTTACATATAACGTGTGTATATAGTGTAATAACACAAACAGTATGGTGGGAGGAATGTTGGCGTATGAGGTGTTGGTGACGGAGGGAGGTGGCGTCCGCTGGCTGGTGTGTGTCTTGTCATGTATTGTATGATGGCCACTATACTGTTTGGACACCATTCCAGCTTAGTTGTACAGTTAAGGTGAACAAAACATTTAGATACTTGTATATAACGTGTGAATATAGTGCAACAACAGCAAAAGGACTATGTAGGGAGGAGCCTATCTATACTATCCTGTTGAGTTTACCCAAACAACAGCCACGGTCTAGTGCTTTGCGCATTTAATCATGTTTGTGGATATTGGGAGTGGTTACACTCTAGTGCATTATTCTTGTGAAGCTAAAGTTATTTATCACAGCAATATACTTCACTTAACTATATGCCTGCTAACTAGAGCAGGCATTTTTTGCTGTTAATAACATTAGTGTGGTTTTAACATTGACCCATAATATATATATATTTGTATACGCAACGCGCAAATTTTTAATTTGGTATTGGTAAAAATGTAGGAGAGAGATCGGTGTACCAACTACCGTGGCTGTGAAGGTCTGGCTCCTGTGTGGTGGCGCTCCTCCAGTCCCGCCACTACACACACACCATAATCCTCTAGTTCTCACACACCATAATCCTATAGTTCTATCACCAAGACCATAATTCATTGCTCGTAACCACCTTTATTTATGCTGATAGAATTTATACAACTGGAGCAGCGTTAGTAGCATGAAAACTCAAGGTCCGTGCACCCAAGGTGGTGGCGGGTCCCAGCGTCCATGTTAGACCGATCCCCTTGGCTAATATTGTAGTTCCCTTCATGCGAACCTTTCCAGGAGCGGCCACGATACATCACCAAGTCAAGAAATGTAACTAATGTGAGAGATTGCGCAACAATCTCTCAACTACTTACCCTAACTCGCCTCCGTCGACCTCCTCCTCCTCCTTGCTGGGAGACGACTGACAAGTGAGCTGCCGTGCGTGAACCCGACCCTTACTCACTGTTATCCTGTCTTCTTCTATTTTGTAATGTTGCAATTGTTTACAGTAAAATATTTGTTCGTTCAAGTGAATTTAAAGCTTTTATATATTTTGTTGACCAAACCACACTAGAAAATGAAGCGACCACGACGTCTCTATGGTCTATCCTGGACCATTCTCACGTCGATTGTGATGAGGCAAGGAGGCGAAGGCAATAAATAGGCAAGAGAGAGGTGAGGAGAAGGAAATCTTAGAGGAATTATTATATTATTATTAAACGTAAATTCTCAGAGAAGCAAACGTTGCTCGGTGAAGCGTATGGCATGGGCCAACTTGAGATTTATAAGACTAGAGGATTTATTGCCAAACAGAATATAGAAGGTTTTGTCAATGTTAAGGGTGAATTTGTTGGCAGTTAGCCAAAGATGTACTTTATTTAGCTCAGTATTTACTGTGGCATTTAGAGCAAGAGGGTCAGGACTGGAGTAAATGAAGGTTGTGTCGTCAGCAAATAGAATTGGTTTGAGGTGTTGGGAGGCATTTGGAAGGTCATTAATGTAGATGAGAAAGAGGAGAGGGCCAAGTATGCTGCCCTGAGGAACACCAATGTTGATGGGTAGGGTGGGAGAAATTGTATTATTCACAGAAACATATTGGAGCCTGTCAGTAAGGTAGGACTCGAGGTATTGTAGGGAGTGTCCTCTGACTCCATAATGATGTAATTTAAGAAGAAGGTTATGGTGGTTGACAGTATCAAAAGCTTTACGCAGGTCCACAAATAACCCAACAGGGAGCTCCTTTTTATCAAGAGCTGTATGAATCGAGTTAAGCATACTAATAAGTGCATCGTTAGTGCTTTTTTTGGGTCTGAAGCCATATTGGCAAGGGCTAAGTATATTGAGTTTGGCTAGATATGAGTAAAGCTGCTTGTATATAAGTTTTTCAAAAATTTTTGACAAGTTTGGCAGGATTGATATAGGTCTGTAGTTGTTAACATCTGTGGGGTCACCACATTTGAGGACAGGCGTTACTCTCGCTTTTTTTAGAATATCTGGAAAGGTTTGGAGTTCAAGTGACTTGTTGAAGAGCAAAGCAATAGCAGGGGCTAAAGATCTGGAGGCTTTTTTGTAAATTAAAGTTGGTATCTCCTCAAGGGCACCAGACTTGGTTTTAAGGGAAAGGATTATCTCATTGACGTCAGTGGAGTTAATAGGCTTTAGGTACAGAGACTGTGGATAGTTACCTGTAAGATAGTCCTTAATGTCAGTACTGGAAGATGGAATATCATTTGCAAGGGATGAACCAATGGAAGAGAAGAACCTATTGAACTCAATAGCAGAATCAGAGGCTGAAAGCTGACCATCGTTATTAGACAGGAGAGTCGGTTTGTTATTTAAAGATTTCTTTGATCCCAATATTTGTGAAATTGTGCTCCAAGTTTGTTTAATGTTGCTCTTTATTTGAGTAAATTTATCTTCGTAGTAATTAGTTTTGGCTCGTCTAATTATCTTAGTTAGCAATAATGAGTAATTCTTTGAGAATTCTTTGGAGACAATTCCTAACCTATACTTCTTCTCAAGGTCGTGTTTTTTGTTAATGGATTTCAGTATTCCCTTTGTAAGCCAAGGATTGTTAAGCCTTTTGCTTGTGACTTGTTTTGTAAGCCTAGGACAGTGGGTGTTATAAAGGCTAAGAGTTGTTTGTAGAAAAGATTGCACTGCTAGGTTGATGTCCCCTATGTTACCTAACTCGGACTCCCAGTTGACATTATCAGCAGCAGTTATAAAATTGTTTATAGCAGTTTCATTGTGCAGCCTAAAGCTTAACTCCCTTGTTTCTAGAGGTGGTTTGCTAATGTTAGTTAAGAGAAATGTGGGGTAGTGGTCTGTAGTGCTATCGGTGATTATACCTGAAGTAAGCGGAGAGGTTATGTTGGTCCAGATGTGATCTAGAGTCGTGGCAGTGCTATCAGTGATTCTAGTAGGTCTAGTGATTAAGGGTATGAGGAGGCAGGAATTCAGACAGTTGAGACATATATCAATCCATTAATGTAACATCACTTGTATGTATGTACCTTACCTGAATAAACATATTTATTTATTTATATTTATTTATAACTCAAATGTTACGTATCTGAGAATATGTATATATACTATAGGGAGCATTTCCTGTGTTACCTCATCTCTCATTACCAGTACCTAGATTCACGAAGCTCCATGTATTTCTTCGTAAGTAGGTTTGCTACGAAGGTTCCTAAGTATGCCCTAAGAAGATACTTAGGTGCAATTCACGTACATAAGAACATAAGAACAAAGGCAACTGCAGAAGGCCTATTGGCCCATACAAGGCAGCTCCTATTTATAACCACCCAATCCCACTCATATATATGTCCAACCCATGCTTGAAACAATCCACACTGGATGAGCTCAATCGGGCTAAGAAAAACTCCAAGGATACATCCCCTGGAGCCGACAAAATAACCTATAAAATTATTAGAAACCTCGGCCCAGAGGGCAGAGGGAGACGCTGCATACCTAAGGTTAATTAATTTAGCCTGGACTTCTCAAACTAGACCTTCTGCTTGGAATAGAGCAGACATAGTGCCGATCCCAAAACCCAAAGATCCAGCTAATCCCTGGCCCATCTCTCTCCAAAGCTGTACAGCCAAGACGGCTGACAGAATGGCACTCAACAGACTGGAGTGGAAAATGCCTAAACTGCACCATGATATGTATGCCTATAGAAGAGGGGTTGGCACAGTGGAATGTATTACAACTCTGTTAGCCCACTTGAATGACAGACCAGGGATGCTGATATTCCTGGACCTCGAAAAAGCCTTTGAACTGGCTAGCGCCCCAGCTATTCTCTGCTGCCTCATTGACAAAGAGGTCAGAGGCAACCTGCTCTCCTGGACCAAAAACTGTCTCATAAACAGAGAAGCAAGAGTAAAACTTCATGGCACAGTCTCTGAGTACAAAAGACATGAAAATGGTACACCGCAAGGAGGTATTCTTAGCCCTCTTCTCTTCAACTGTTTAATGGAAAGAATAATGAGGTTGAAACTCCCACATCACTGCAGGCTGCTAAACTACGCGGACGACTTTGTCATCATCATAAAAGGAAGGGATGCGGCGCGCCTTGCACCCAAATGCTTAGACTGCATCAGTAAAGAGGCAAAACAGATTGGGATCAAACTCAACCCCTCAAAGTCAAAGGCCATGCCCATAAAAATAGCGAAGCCCAACATCCAACTCACAGTACAGGGTCAACCAATAGAATGGGTCGACACCTATCAGTATCTAGGAATCATCCTGGACACACACATGAATTTCAATGCTGAGGTCACTTACTTGAGAGAGCGAACTGCGGCCCGGACGGCAATCCTCAGGTCGCTAACCTCCCTTTCTGGAGGAGCCAATCTGCAAGTCCTTCGCACATACTATGTACAGGCAGTCAGATCAGTGATCGATTATGCCGCACCTGCACTCACAAATCTATCACACCAACAGTGGAAAAAGCTTGAAGTTGCCCAAAACAATGCTATGAGAGCTGCACTGGGAGCCCCCATGTGGACCAGGCTTGAAACTCTTAGACTGGAGACGGGTTTGCCCTCTCTACAAGAAAGAATATCACAAAGGACAGCTACAATTATCAGTAAGATAATTATTTCTTCTGATCCAATCCCAGTACGGCAGGCTTTGGTGGTTGGACTAGGCCAAAACAATGGAAACTCTTGGGTTGCAAGAGCAGGAAAAGTCCTAAACAGACTACATTTAAAAAACATGATTCTTGATAGAGAGGGTGATCATCCACACCCAAATTACACTCCTTCCGCGCCGTGGGAAGAGCCTACTTTCAAAATAGTAATAGAAAGTCTCCCAATGAAAAAGGCTGCCTATGATCCGACAATCCTAAGGCGCATAATAGAAGAGCAAATGTATAGCATAGCAGTAGCAGGAGCCACCCACATCTTCACAGACGGATCGGTGGACACAGAAAATGAGAGTGCTGGCGCTGCTCTTTGCACGACCAGCGTTCAGGCATATTGGAGACTGGGAGGACTAGTATCATCAACCCAAACTGAGCTGTTCGCCATACAACAGGCATTCGCATATGTGATTGCACAAAACACTCAAAATGCAATCATACACACAGACTCAAAAGCTGCACTTCAAATACTAGGACAAAAACAGTGGAAAGATAATGTGGAAATAATTACCACCATTTTGTATCAAGGAGCAGTCGCTAAAGGCAAAGGCCTCAACATAACTTTAAACTGGATCCCATCCCATATTGGAATCCCATTAAATGAAAAAGCTGATGAAATTGCTAAATTGGCAACTCGTCATCCAGTGATACATAAAACAATTCAACCCAGCCTAGAGAACATAAAAAACATCATCACCAAAAAACTCTCACATCTCAACAAAGCCTACCTACACCAGAGAATAGCTGAAGGTTCACCATCTGCAACATGGTATCTTCAGGCAACCAAATTAGAAAGGTTAAATATCCCAAAAGGAATCCACAGGGAAATAGCAGTTAGGCTATATAGACTACGTCTAGGTTACAGATGCAACTGGGAGATTGGTGAACCCCGACAGAGAGAGTGCATCTTCTGCCAAACTGTCACAGAAAAGCCATTACTTCACTATCTTCTGGAATGTGAAGCAACCAATGACCTTAGAAGAGCTTTAAGAGTTCCTGAATCATGCAGTGGCCACCCTGAAGCCATCAACACAGCCACTCTCCTGGTCAACAAGGTGTCCAGCAGCTGGACACCCTCATAAAGACTGTGAAGCAGTATCCTCCCCCACGATAACAGCTTGATGGTTAAATGCAACCTCAGAACACTGGGAAAAAAAAAAAAATTGTGCCACTTACGGGCTATTCATGCCCGTGCCACCTCTTGGGTGGCTTAATCTTTATCAATCAATCAATCTTGAAACAATCGAGGGACCCCACCTCCACAATGTTACGCGGCAATTGGTTCCACAAATCAACAACCCTGTTACTGAACCAGTATTTACCCAAGTCTTTCCTAAATCTAAACTTATCCAATTTATACCCATTGTTTCGTGT